CACGCGAATGGACTCTGCAGAACTGAAGCCAAACAGACAACTAAAACCTCACTCACATGAGTGAGAATTCTGACTCAGGGGGCTGACTCAACAAACTGAGATATACATTCTCTATTCCCTATGTAATTAAGTGATAATCTTGCACTCTTTTGGTATGAATTCATGCTCATTCAGGCACTTATATATCTCTAAGTCATTTTTGATTTTTCCTAAAGGTATCTTTCTGAACTCAATTAAACTATTTTCCAATGATTAATCAAGTCATGAAGTCATTAAGTTTTCAAGCCTTACATGAATGCTTATGCTAACCAAGTATATTCCTATCTCAATTAGAACCTTGGACTGTTACCTCCAAGTCATAAGTTGAAGCTGAAATCTATCCAAACCAAGTTTTCTTTCCAGATCTCCCCTAATTTTTTCCAGATCCCTCCTTGCTGCTACTAGGTTTCTTTTTCTTGGAGTTCCTTCCTCTCTTCTTCGGGTCTGTGTAGTGTTGGTGTATTGTTTGTGTGTTTTTTTTCTCTGATATGTGTTCTTTATGCTGGGAATGCAACTCCTTTTATCGAGCTTGTTGCCATTTCTTCTTCCAAGAGAGTCTCACCATGCTTGTGTATTTTTTATTAGCCCCAATGCCTTGTGTCTTGAATCCGGCTTTGGCTGGCCTTTTTCCCTTCTTCTAGCAGTGGTATCAGCAGCAACATTGATCAATGTGGGTGGTTGGTTCTTCAGCCAAGGGGACAAGCATGTTCTTGGGTTTCTATGGTGGGACACCCTTATTTACTCCCAAATGTGCTTTGTGTCTTGAAGTTACTTTTGAACAGTTCAGCAAATTTGAATCCAGCAGCCCAATTTTTGTTCCATAAGCCCCCTTTTTCAGCTAATGTTCACTTAGATGCTTGCCTAATTAAAAACACAAAACTAGTTAGGTAAAATGAATTAATTCTGAGAAACACCCCTAATTTCTTACTAATTAAAGAGTAAATTATCATGCTTTTATGTAACAAATTAACCGTTATCACCTTTGAGGAAAACTAAACACAACCCGTGGCTATTTTCTAAAACAAAAGGGCAAAAAACGTGATTAACATGAAGTGTTGGGTTGTATTTTAGGTCCTGGGTGAAATTGGCACCTACTTATTAAATTTTTAACTCAATTCATTGAGTTAAAGAAAAACATAGGACGGATGTAGTATTTAAATATTAAAAATTACATGTTCGTAAAGCAGGAACGAGAAATTAAATTAACTCTTTGTATGCATTAACTCTATATCACTTAATAATGTGAACTTATCTGGCCAATAGTGAAACTAAAGGCGAAACAAATTCTAATGCACAAATCAATATAAATCTTTCTTAAAATCATGCGGAAGCTTTCCCACAGACTTAATTTCATGCCCCAAAAACATGAAAATCATGTAGAACACAAAGAAGATTGAGCCATAAAAACTCAAACCAAAAATTGATGGGAAGATTGAAAAGAAGAAAGTGATGTTGATGTAACCCCTATAGTAACAACTCTAACAACCCCCGTCTAAAGATTATAACGGTGATGGTTAGATGTTCTCCCTTACAATGACACCTAAAGAACTCCATAAACAAGGACACTCCCTTAGATGCATGTACGCTACTTTATGCAAACACTAGTTCTTGCAAAAAGCTAAATAACCTCAAATAGTCAAAGAAACAAGGAATTTCCTCTCAAGTTTGTATTGAAGAAATTCATCAAAGTCTATCTACAAGAGCTAGCCCGAACACCCCTATTTATAGTAGAGTGGCCAAAATTTCTGTAAAAAATTAGGAGGAAAATTTGATCTCTAACTTCATTCCTACTTTAATGAATTGGAAATCAAATTGACATCTAATTGACAACTCACGTCGTATCTATTAACACAATGTATCTAGACACCTTTATAGACTTAAGACACATTAGTCTAATGAAAATAAAACTCCTAACACAAAGAGATATTATTATCTAAAAGACTTATATTTTTTTGTTGAAAAGAATGTTCCTGAGTAGTCAATTCTATCAATATATATTTGGTAGAGTAATCATAGTCATTCAATCTTGATGTAGCCTTCACCCAATGATTGAGAGCAGACATCAAGGAATAAACTCCAATACAGTAACAAACTCAAAAATAGATAAAAGAGAATCATATCAAATTTTATTCTTCCATGAGTGTGATAAGATTTCAATGATCTTATCTCTAAAAGATAGGAATTTTTTCAAATCTTATCCTTCCGTGAGTTAAAAAAGAATTTAGAATGATTTTATCCCTAAAAGATAGAGATTTCAACTCCTAAAATTTAGGAGATGATGCTGCCGGCCCTTCCTTGTAGACTGGGCCGAATTATTCTTCTCTAAATGGGCAAACTCCATTTATTGATAGCACTTGTAGCACATTCATAATCTTGGATTTTTTAATCTTCAAACTTGTCACTTTCCTTGGCCCAAGTAGTTATTATGAGTTTATTAACTGAAGTCTGCATCCCTTGTCTCTTGAATGAGTCATTAGACCTCTAATATTAGATAATGGATCTTGAGCACGAGCATTGCTCGGGTTTCCTTGGATTTTTACATAATTCCTCCTTCCTCAGAAAGATTCGTCCTCAAATCCAAAGCATCCAAAAAAAAATAAAAATTATTCTGTTGACATGAGATCAAGAAATAGAGGAGTGAAAAAGGTTGCTGACACTTTTAAACCATTAAGTGACAAAGAGAACATTTTTTTTTTTTTTTTTTTGCGAAAAGGAAAGCTAAACCTAAAAAGATTTTTTGGGTGAATTTTTTGGTCAAATGAAATCCATTTAATTACAGTGCAATTTCATCAATTGATAGGCTAACAAAATTTGGGAATTGGCTCAAAACATCTCAAGAATCATAAAGAGAAACCATCACTGAGATATTTTTCTATTATTTACTCGCTGTCAAATTTTATCCAAAATGTGAGTAAAACCAACTCAAACTCCATTTTACTTGTCAGTTCAGTAAAAACTTATATAAGCTCTATAAAAGTCTTGTTGGAATATTAGTGATTTACTCAGCAATCGTCCACATATTTTAAAAGACTAGGTGTTAGACCCGTCCGATGGACAGGACATTACAACACAAGCAAAGTAAAAAATATTAATATTTTTATAGATTTTGTATTTTTTATAAAATGTACGATGACTTTATTGGAAAATATAGAACACAAACATCAGCAAACACTTTACCAATATGGTGATAATTTATTTAACACAAAGAGGATTGTTAAGAAAATCCAAAAAATGAAAAATACAAAAAAATGAAAAAGAATGAATTTCAAATTGAATGATTATCTATCCTGCAACAGTTTTGTAGACTCAAAAAGTAAATTTTAGAATTGACATTACCATCTTCATCACAATTAAGGACATTTATTCCTTGTCTCGAAGTGACTCCTGTTTTTAGTGCTTTTACTTTATTTTTTTCTTTCTCGCTTTATTTTATTTTTTTAACCATTTGTTCATTTGAGTTAGTTGTTTCTCATTATCCATCAAATAATTTATTTTTTTTTACTTTAACTTACCCATTGTTAGAAATACTTTATTTATAATGTCATGTGGGAGTATCTTTTTACCCCTTAAAGAATATATTCAACTATTTTTTTTCTCAATTAATATATTTTTGGACATTTTTGCTAATGTCAAAGCCATGCTGATCATTTTTTTTGGATTAAATTTTATTTTGTAAAAAATTTCAAAGTTTGATCATGTATTTGTTTTAGCAATAGTTTTATTTTCTTTAGATGTTTTACAATTATTATTTAATTATGTTTTGTCTTAATCCTATATCAATTTTCTCGTATCAGGTTAATTATGAGAGAGATGGTTGTTCAGTATCCAAGGCTCATTATCATAAGGCTGGGTTTTCAAACTCATCATTATAACAAATAAATGAGTCCTACTAAATTTTGCATATTTTATTGAAATGATAATTCATAAATTTGAAATAGAAATTTTATCCGTTGAACTTTTTTATAATAACATTAAGGTTCATGGACAATTGCAAGTTTAAGAGACAAATATACAATGAAGCTTTATTCAACATCAAGTGGAACATTATTCTTGGATTTTATATGGGAATAAAGTGTAATTGTAACGAAGATTAAGAGAAATTAGTTATATATTTATTGGATTTTATATGGGAATAAAGAGTAATTGTAAAATATATAATGATTTCAAACATATTAAAAATATAAAACTCGAAGAAAAAGAAAAAAGAAAAAACTGCGGTGTCTACTAGGGTTCGGCCACCATGGTTGGATCTCGTCCACCGGCGGTGCCTCATATGCCGCCGAAATCCTTTGCCGGCTGATGTGTCTACTAATAAGACTTCTTTGATCAAGGAAGTCAAGTTGATCAATGGCAATCTTACTTTGGAGTTTGAAGATGAGGAATTTGAACAACTAATTGCCCCACATCGGTTAGCCTCGTCGGGAAATTTTCTTATGGTCGGCCGAAAATGGAGGCGATTCACGACGAATTCAAAAAGATCGGATTCATTGGTGGATACACTCTAGGTTTGATGAATCCTAGACATCTATTGATCCGATTTGAAACGGAGGAGGACTATCAAAAGTGTTGGATTCGAACATTTTGGAGTATTGGTGGTTTCTCAATGCGAATGTTGAAGTGGACGCCCGGATTCAGATTTGAGGAAGATCCTCCTGTTGTGCCAATATGGGTTGCTCTTTATGATCTTCCTATCGAATTCATGCACCCGGAAGTGACTTACTCGATGGCTACAGCCCTTGAAAGTGGATACTCCGACATTGAATATGACTCGTCCCTCGGGTGCTAGATTCTGCGTGGAGGTGGATCTTACCAAGGATTTGCCAAAATCAGTAAAGGTGGGCAAAAAGGGTCGAAAGCATGAACAAATTTTCACGTTCGAGCATATTCCATCGTATTGCTTGAAATGTTGCAAAATTGGTCATAAGGACATTGATTGTAGAGTTGGTAAACCCACGGTGCGAATGAATGAGCCTGAAAAGATTGAGGTTCCAGCCTTGAAGAAAAAGGGAATCAAAATCAAGTCGACAAAGCCCAAATGGCCATTGAAAGGAGGAGATCCTAAAAGTGGACTGGAAGCTCAAATAGTCAGTTTGAATCCCTTGGTGGTCAAAGGGGTGGAAAAGGAATCAACGATGATGACGGGGAGAGCGGAAAGGCAGCCTGCGGCAAAAACCCTAGCGGCACGGCTTGGTGCGCACCCTGCGGAAGAAACCCTAGTTACGCAAGTCATACCAGTCCTTGAGTCGCGACAGCTTGAATCAACTTTTGGTTTATCCGCGACGGAAAAAGAAGCAATCCCAATGGAGTTGCAGCCATCACCGGTTAGGACTGAAACTGTCTGTGTTGTTGCGCAGACTCTTTTTCAATCGGAAAATTGATTTTCGGTGATGACGTAAAGAGGAGATAGAAAATGTCTTCTCTGAAGTTGATACGCAAAGTCAGAAGAAAACAAGATGATATTGGTGCTACATTGATTGATGGTGAGTTGGAATTGGACAAGAATAGATCTTTACTTGAAGTTGAGCGGCGGAATATGTCTTTGGTTCCGCAACTGGAGCTCACTCGATTTAATGATGATCTTCTGCGAATGAAATCCATAATACTGAGGCGGTTCATGACGAGAGAGAGTTGTGGTCTGATGGAGAGATTCATGATGATCACATTGTTGAAAACGACCAAGGCGAGCGCACTGTTACCAAGAAGCGGGGCCACAAGTCGAAGGAAGAGCGAGCTAAGCAATCGGAGGGTGTCGAATTAAGGCGCTCCCTTCAACATCAGTAGGTTCCAATCTTCCTAAAGTATCCAATGATCAGTGTCATTTTTTGGAATATTCGGGGAATAAAGAGTCAGGCATCTCAGCGTCGTTTGAGGTCCATGATTCAAATTTATAAAATTTCTTTGTTGATTATACTAGAGCCAATGCTTCCATGTTATAAACTGGAAGAAATAAGAAGAGAGTTGAGGTTTGATATTGCCTTTTCCTCTTCCACAAGTAAAATATGGGTGTTTTGTAGCCGGATCTTCACCATCAATATGATAGAAGATGCGGGTCAGGTGCTGCATTTTGAAGTTGCATGTGTTCCACTTCAAAAAATTTTTTTGTTATCTTTGATATATGCTCAGTCAAATAAAGCTGATAGGAGAACTCTTTGGAATAGCTTGGTGACATTCAGAGGTGCGCACCCTAACTCTCCTTGGATTGTTGGAGGGGATTTTAATGTTATTCGGTCCTTGGATGAGTATTCGGGTTTGTCGGTGCGAGATTATGGTGCTATTGAAGAGTTTAATCAATGTATTGATGATAGTGAGTTGCTTGAGCTTCCTCCCATCGGCGATGAGTATACTTGCGGTGGTACGAGGCATACCGGTTGGGTTAGCAAACGATTGGATCGCATCTTGTTCTCACAAGAATGGATTAGTCTATCTCTGAAGATATCGATTGAGCATCTGAGTCGCACAACTTCGGATCATTCTCCACTACTCCTCCAATTTGATGTTCAAGTTGAAAGTAGGCCAAGGTGTTTCTGTTTCCAACAAATGTGGTTAAGAAGGCCGGAATTCAAAGAATTGGTTAAGGAAAATTGGTCTCAACATGTCCATGGCTATGGCATGTTTGCGTTTTCTACCAAGCTCCACCGACTGAAAATGAAGCTTAAGGAATGGAATAAACAACACTTTGGAGATGTTTTTTGTAAATTTAAAGAAGGCTGAAGAGCGGGTGAAGGAATTGGAAATTATGCATGATCAAACTGGTGATATAGCGGACCGAATCAATCTTAACGAGGCCAATGCTTTCTATCTCCAAAAGTTGAAGGAGCATGAAGACTTCTGGAAACAAAAGATGAGATTGAAGTGGTTAAAGGAAGGGGACATCAACTCATCTTTTTTTCATGCTACGTTGGCGGAGAAAAATGTAAAATTGGGAATCCACAAAATTCAATCGGAATATGGAAGAACCTTAACTGAATTAAGGGATATAGAGGCTGAGGCGGTGAATTTTTTTCACACCTTGCTGACTGAGGATTCTGCGCCAACTTTGCAAGTAGAAAAACAGGAAAAATTTTTGAATTTACTACATGATGAGCTTGATTTTTCGGAAAAAGAAATGTTATGTGCTGCGGTTATAATGGATGAGGTGCGAGCTGCGATTTTCAGCCTTGGTGAGGATAGTTCTCCTGGAGTAGATGGCTTTGGAGGGACGTTTTATAGAGCATTTTGGGATGTTATTGCTGAAGACTTGCTGTGCGCATGTTCTGAATTCATGAGTGGAGTGCCGCTTCCGAAATGGGTATCTAGTACCTTAATTACCTTGCTGCCAAAGAAGCATTCTTTTACTACATTTTCAGATTTTAGACCCATCAGTCTCTGTACTTTTCTGAACAAGGTTTTCACGAAAATCTTGTCTGAGAGGATGAAGAAAGTTTTGCCAAAAATCATATCGGAAGAGCAATCGGCTTTTCTTGAAGGGCGCAACATTATAGATAATGTGGTTTTGGCTCAGGATCTTTGTCAATTTGTTACTCACAAGGCTGTGGGAAATAATGTGATCATCAAGGTCGACATGATGAAAGCATTTGACCAAGTGTCATGGAATTTTTTAGAGAAGGTTTTGCTCAAGCTAGGGTTTCCGCAGGGGTTTGTTTTGTTGATTATGAATAATCTTCAGTGCAGCTAGTTTTCGGTGATGGTCAACGGCTCTCTAGCAGGATTTTTTAAGGCGACACGTGGTATAAAACAAGGTGATCCATTGTCACCTTACTTATTTATCCTAGTTGCGGAGGCAATGACTAGGCGTTTAAGTTTTTTGATGCAAGAAGGAAAGCTAGCTGCGTATGGCACTCCAGCTGGGAGTTTGAGGGTGTCGAATTTATCCTTTTCCGATGATTTGGTAATCTTTACTAGAGGAGAAAAGAAATTTCTAAGAGTATTGGATGCTTTTTTCAATGATTATGAAGTAGCTTCAGGCCAAAAGATAAATCGCCAAAAAAGTTTTTTCCTTGTTGCGGAATCATGTCGCGCGCAAAGGATGGAGGTCATTACGGATACTTTGGGGATGCAAAAGGGTTCATTTCCTTTTATGTATCTAGGCTGCAAATTATTTCAGGGGAAGAAAAAGGCTTCAACTTTTCAATTCTTATTGGATTCGCTGGATTCTCGGTTGGCTAATTGGAAGACTAAATGGTTAAGTACGGGTGGAAGGCTTATTCTTTTGAGACATGTATTTGCTGCCATACCAATCCATGTGTTTTCCGCTATTAATCCTCCCACCTCGGTCCTCAAGCAAATGGAGAAAAGGTGCCAAAGGTTTTTGTGGCAAGGTTCGAGTGAAGAAAAGAGAAGGCATTGGCGCTCTTGGGAACGATTCACATTTCCAACTGAGGAAAATGGTCTAGGGCTGCGCCGATTTGTTGATGTGGTGCAAGCTTTGTCCTATAAGCTGTGGTGGAAATTTAAGCATCAACATGGATTATGGAGCAAATTTATTTGTTCACTCTCGGATGCTGCAAGAAAGAAAACAACTTGGAGTAGGGTTTCGAAAGTTGAGCAAGAGGCAGCAAAAAATTCAAAGGTTTTGGTCCGCGGAGGTGATAGGTTTTTCTGGTTTGATAATTGGGTGCCCGATGGAATACTTTGGGATTCCACTCATGGTTCTCCTCCAATGCCAACTCTTACTATACAAAATTTTCTTGCTCATAAGGATTTACTCTTAAATGAATTGCAGGGTGCGCTTGGAATGCAAAAAGTGCAAGTGTTGCGTGACATGGATATCCCCCTCACTGGCGAGCCTGATTTGCTTGTTTGGCAGCAGTCCTCTAGTGGTAACTTTTCAGTAAAGTCGGCCTTCTTGAGCCTAAGGAGAAGGAATTCAGTTGATCCGTTGGCTAAGAATTTTTGGCATAAATTGATTCCTCTAAGGGTGTCGTTTTTTGTTTGGAAGCTCGGGAATCTGTTGGTGCCATTTCCTGAGATTTTATCCAATTTCGGTATATAGGTTCGGCCCTCTATTCGTTTGTTTTTTAGAATGCATGAAGAGAGTATATCCCATTGCTTCTTTGGCTGCCCGGAAATCAAATATATTTGGGTGCATTTTGCTAACATGTTTGACATTAAGCTGGAAGCTATGGTTACATTGCTTGATTTGTTACAAAAGTGGTGGAGTGCCGGTGGCTTTATCTTGGCTAAACAATCTCTCATTCGAATAATCCCTTCTTTTATTCTTTGAGAGGTTTGGAAAGCTAGGAACAAAATGTACTTTGATGGTATTCTGTTTGAGAAGGGGAGGGTTATTCATGAAGTAACTGTCTCAATTAGGAACATTTTGTTTGTGCATGATTTGAAAACAAGGAATGTGGAGGAAAGGGAAAATTCATTGATAATGCATTTGGTATAAAGTTGCAAAAAATCTAAAGGACTTGTATCTCGGTTTGTTGGAAGTCGAGGAGTAATGAAGGCTTTGTTCTTAATACTGATGGGTCGGCTGTTAATGAAGATTCTGGCTATGGTTTTGTCATTAGGTGTTTTGATGGGAACTTCCTTTATGGAGAGCATGGTTTTATTGGCTCGTGTGATAGTTTTGGCGCAGAGGTTTTTGGCCTTCTTTTTGGTGTTCGAAAATGTGATCATCTCAATTTGGAGCATGTTGACATTCAAACGGACAACAAGGTGCTGGCCGATCTTTTAAGGAATCTATAATTAATTCCATGGAAATCTTACTTTCAAATTAAGGAGATTCATAGTATTATGGAGAGGCATTCATATGCAATTTCTCACATTTTTCATGAAGCAAATTCAGCGGCGGACAGCTTGGCCGGTCAAAGATTACAAGGGCACTCTTGCACTTATACTAGATTGGGGGAATTGCCACGGCATGCTTGTGGTCTAGTTCGTTTAGATCAAGTTTCATTTCCATACGTACGAGTTAGACTTAAATAGCTTTGTAATATGGTAAGTCTTAAGCACTTCCAGACTCTTTTATTTAATGTAAAACTAATATAAAAAAAAAAGGTGGAGAGGAAGCTAAGGAACTGAATGATATATATGTCCATCCCTTGGGTAGACCCTTTGGGTGCATTATATCATTTGGCTATAACTGATCCAAAAATTCATCTCTTGGGTAGACCTCTTGAGTATTTTTGAGTCAGTTAGAACCCAAACTTCTTTCTAACCCTCATATTTATTTAAAGAAAGAAAAAAGAAAAAAAAAGGCTCTCAAATGAGTATATGATGCTTTATTCAACATCAATTGGAACATTATTAAATCTAAATAAAGGAATATACAAAACAAAAAAATCAACTTCAAATTGAATAATCATATATCTTGCAGTACTTCTTTATAAACTACATTTGCAGTCTTGGCATTATTGACATTACCATCTTG